GTATCAAGCAGCCAATCAGAAGAGCCCAATGGATATAACGTGTAGGAAAAAAAATTCGCGGCCCGGCATGTCATCTAACCGACTTCCTCATTCTGCTTCAACTGGCGGGGCAGACGACATGCGTAATAACAAGAGCTTTCCTACTGTCCGCGTGCGTCATCCCGCGAAAACAAACAAAAAGCAGATCGCACTCGTAGAACAGCGGTGCTTCATCTCCGTAAGGCCATCTTGTCCAGCTTGCCTAAATCCATGGGCACGCATCGGCGCGTCCCGTGACAAAACCAGCGAAAAAACCCTCCGTATTTGTTAACATACTTCATAAATAGATCACGGCGAGAGAAGACAGGATCGTAAAGCTGCCAACGAGCGGGAGCATAAATCATGCAGAAGCAATACAATGTTGTGCGTGCGCACGAAGCTGCAGAGACGGGAGAAAGAGGGCGAGGAAAAAGGAGGCAGGATTAATACACGCAGGATTTGCGCGCGTGCCGAAGCAGAAACCGAAGTACACTTACTTTGCTCCTTTACTACGACCAAATCAATTAGTTGCACTGTATATAGCTGCCATTCAAACCCCATCTAACTTAATGCCGCCTCCATTGCACTTGGCGATGCGCTATTAGGGCTAGAATTTCGAATTTTATCTACTACCTGGTCAGACGAATTATCTGGTAAGATCACTAGCCACCCTCCAAGTCTATTAGCCCGGAATTTCTATAAACAATCGCACGCGCTAAGTAATGTTCGTATATGCGCCTATTCTATTCCTGGCATTCATCGTATTTCCTGGTCCAGACCTAGCGCTAGTTACAGCAGCTTACCAAAATTTAATTACTCCTACTAGGTAGCTGAATCGCAAATGCACTAGCCCCTGGATAGAGATCTGTCGAAAATTTTGAACCCTGCGTTAGACTTCCTGGGTGTTTGGCTAATCTCACAGGTCACACAACTGTACTGTACAATACTGTATTCTTTTGATAGGACTACTTGGGTCTCTGTATTACAAATATGCTTGCATTGGAACTCATTCTATACATCGCTGCGCTTGTCAATTAATTAAAACCAATATCTACACGCTAGTATTAAATCACGCAAAATGAATGTCATGATCGTAGCATCAAGCCACGGCATCTTGTCTGTGTTCCACATAGCATCGGCCGTCGGCACACGACACAGAACAATGTGAAATTGCTTCCGGTGAAACATAATTACATTGATTTACATATTACAGCCACCTGACCTACATGCAGGGCAGATATTCAAGTAGTGAAATGAGGCCACTTTGATTACGGAGTTAAGAACACTTGCATGTATGTCCCACAAGGAGCCCTATCTCTCTACAGACATTAAACATTGCGTGAGACCATAATACACTGTGCGTGTATACTACGTATACGTAAGCAATAGATGCGAGCTAGGGAATTTTTCGCCTAGACGCACTCTCGCCCTCCTCTCGCCCTCCCGCCGTCTCTCTCTATCTCTCTCTCTCTCACTGCCTTTCGCTCTTTCTTATACGTTTCTGTCCAAGGACTCTCCCGAGCACATCCGTCTCTCTGCCCTTTACCGCATTTTTTCGCTCCCCTTCTCTCTATCTCTCTGAGCGTGCGTGCGTGCGTGCGTGCGTGCGTGCGCCCGCATGTTACTCAACGCGCTCTCCTTTTCTTCACCCTTTACTCAACTTCCCATCACTATCTCATCACTGTTATTCGGACAGTGCCATGAAGACACACGTACGTCGCGATCAGCTCTGCGAAATGATCAAAGCGTCGTGGCCTGACAGTTTGCGCGCACATAATCTAATATCTCCCGCAAATAATTCCGCGGCACCTCGCGCGATATAGTGCACGTATATATGAGCTCGCCATCCGTACATAGCCGGTGCACGGCCGGTCGCACAGAGCAGGCAGTGCACGCCTGGCATTACATGCTCAGATGCGGTTACATTACGAGCAACCTGAATTCCACCCAGCCATTATCCCATCTAGTAGGAGACGGAGATTGCGGGGGTGAGAGTGAGGAGGTGGAGGAGGAGATAGTGGCACATATACAGTCATACCATATACGATCTTCGGAAACGGATCAAGAGCAGTTCGAGTAAACGCTATATATAATATATATATATATTATAATATATATATATATATATATATATATATATCTAATATATATATATATATTCATAGAGGTGGAGGTTCTATCCATGATGTCTCTACATATATTAACACACATTCGATGCCGTGACTGCACACGGTATTCGGAGAAATGCGTACGACCTTTCAAAGAGCTACTTTGCGAGCAGGTATGCGCGGTGCTGCGACATCTCTCGACATCGACGGTATTTTACGCGATAGTTTGATTCCATTCCCAGTGAATTATTGCGGCTACAACACGCCATATCAGTCGCGAAAAATAAATAGCGCACGCACGCCTTCACGCGAGCGAGAAAAAGTCAATCGCTTGTTTGCTAAATCGTACACGAAAGCTTACAAACTAGAAATGTGCTTGTTGCAAAAATAACGACGCAGAAACAATTAATTTCACGCGCGAGCCGTAAGGGAGAACCTTTATATTATTATTACATTCGCAGCAGTCTAATATGCGTTTGCATCGATTATTCGCTGGAAAGCTATAGCCGGGATGTGGGCTACAGCGTATATTAACAGCCCAACAGCGAATCTCGAAGACACTTGTATGTGGGCTTCTATTCAATGCATTATCGTGCGCAGATGACGATCAGTGGCAGGAACAATAATAATTTTAAATCGAATAAATGTTTAGACAAAAATGCTAAACCTCGAGCAAGAGTAACACAGTTGAGTGAGTTCGTATATTACTGTCCAACACACACACACACACACACACACACACACACACACACACACACACACGCACGCACGCACGCACGCACGCACGCACGCACGCACGCACGCACGCACGTACGCACACACACATACATACACACAAGCACGCACGCACGCACGCACGCACGCACGCACGCACGCACACACACACACACACACACACACACACACACTGTCACACACATACACACAAACACGCACGCACGCACGCACGCACGCACATGATGACCTCCTTGCTCCGTGTGGTCACATGGGCACATGATCCATGGCCATACCCTCAGCACCTCACAGTCTGGTCGTTAACATCATTCAGCAGTAGCCTCTGCTAAAATCATCATCCTCATCATCATCATCATCAGCAGCAGCAGCAGCCAGCGCTAGCAGCAGCAGCAGCAGAAGCCTTCGCTAGCAGCAGCAGCCACCGCTAGCAGCAGCAGCAGCAGCCTTCGCTAGCAGCAGCAGCAGCCACCGCTAGCAGCAACAGCAGCATCCATCGCTAACAGCAGCAGCAACAGCAGCAGTAGCCAGTGCTAGCAGCAGCAACAGCAACAGCCGCAGCAGCGGACGCCGCGCGGCGCGACTGGCCGCTGAATTATTCACGCCGGACAACCGCCTTCCGACGCGAGCGCTTTTAAATGATGCACAAATCGTGCATTCGCAAGTTGAAGCGTCGCCCAAGTCCCACGTGCGTGTCACCGCCGCCGCGCTGTCACACGATAGATAATAGATAGCGCGGTGACTCGAGGGTAGTAGGGGAAGGAGAAAAAGGAGACGGAGACTGGAGGAGAAGTGGACGGGTGTGGCTCAGGGAGAAGGGGAAGGGCGAGACGGCGGTGGCGGTTCGAATGCAGAAGTCAGCGGTGGTGGCTCCAGCGGCAACGTCAATAGCTCAATAAAAAGTATGCAGCGGCTGCGCTTTTTCGATACCGGAGAGGGGGCGACGGTGAGAACCCTTGCACGCAACAACTTCCGTGCCTGTCAGTGGTGAGCACGCGAACCGTGGTATGGCCTATGAACGATTTATCAAGCTCTCGCGCTCGCTCCCAGGTTTGTTTATACACCATAGACACTCAGCAAGGAAGGCAGAGCAAGGCGTATGTCCGCTGGGTGCGGAAACCCGCCACACTACGTGTCAAAGAGGCTCCCCAAGTACTTGCTAACGCGGCCAAGTTATTAAACTGCCCTGGTTTCGAGAGATGGCCACAGAATTTTCGATGTCGCAATAGAGCGGAGGATAGGAAGGAGGAGGGGGAGTGTCGAGGAGGAGGAACACAAGGAAGGTTCCCATGGCTGTGCCAAAATAGTGTCAAAAACAAACACTGACACGTTCCTCAAACAAAACACAACAGTAGTTGTTCAAACTGTACTGTTTAGCTTTTAGACTGTGCACCTACTCAAACATTACTGACATGTCTTGTATAAAAGCAATTGCATGGTGCCGTGCCAATAGAATTAAATCATGCAGCGAAAATCAGGTTCGCACGCGAGGATATTCAGGAGTCTCTATAGCGAGATGGTCAGGGAAAACAGTTCACTTTTTGGAGAACCACGAAATTAAGCACTCAAGTCACCCACCAAATGTATTTTTATTCGCGGTAACACAACCTACAATAGAAACATTTCTGTGAGTGTGATGATTCCTGCACACATAATAGCAGGAGTTAATAAAGACAAAAATATGTCTTTATTAACTCCTGATAATAGTAATACACGTATTAATTAACCCAAATTAACTAATTTAAACTAGTAGAAAAAATGAATTATTATCCCACATTTTTAAGCGGGTCAGCCACGCAGGAATTATTTAGGGCTGCTCTATATATACAGCACTTCAAAAATGTACTGCACTTATCAACGCAACAAACAACGTGGCGTTAGACAATAGAGAATGAATATTTCGAGAGGTTAGTTTCGTCGACAAAGACTGGGTCAAACTAGATTGCGCCGCTTTATTTTTCGGCGTTCGATTTCGAAACGCGTGCTTCTCATCTTTGTTTAGCATATCGGACGTCATCGCTATTCACCGACCGCAGTATGGTACAAAGGCTAAAAGCTGGCTTAAAGGTCTAATGCTGCATAAAAAATTGATTATATAACACGGCCTCGCTTATACCGCTCGCACGGCGCCCACCTCCCTACCTTTTAACAGCGACATCGTAGTTTTCTCCTTGTCACCGGTCTCCGGCTGGATCGTTCCCTGCAGCTGTGACATGGCGATCCGGTCCCTTTCAACACTGTCCTCCTTCCCCAAATCTACATCCGCGCTGACGACGGCCTGAGTGCAATTGTTTGTTGGCGCCTTGTCGGCCCACGGATTCATGAAGCCAGCCTGCTGCTGCTGCTGCTGCTGCTGCTGCTGCTGCGGGGTGTCACCGTCGTCCTGCGACTGATTGTTATCGTCGCTCACATGCCGCGTCCGCAGTTTGCCTCTGAAACAGACAGATAGACACCGGATTATATACACAGATAGGTGAAATACACGAGTTGCATAGACACCAGGATCAATCACACGGGCAGACACATGTGGGGATAAAACCTACAGACAGATAGACTTGATGAGCTCGTGTGTGCAATGGATAGACACAAACAAATCCACTTCATATTATGTAGATGCGTGATTTATTACCTGTATAACGAATAAAATCAATGCACAACACATGGTAATATTTTCGGGTATACACGATGACATGTATCCCAAATTTCCATGTAGGGCCTAGTATTTGTTCAATCAAACTTTACCTCATACCCAAACCGCGCATAGTTTGCACCGTGAACTTCTCACATCAGCCGGACTTTGCATTTCGCATGTGTGCGCGGTGCAGCCTTTCTGCACACACCCCGCAGATAAACGTCGCTTCCATCGCACAGATTTGTACCACACCTATGTAATACTCGCCAGGCGGATTACACCGATGCCCCCCCCCCATTTCATCCAAAAACATGATATGTTTTCCGATTATTCTGCGAAGTTCGCGCGCGCAGAAGAAATAGACGCGGACGGCAACAGGCCGACGCCGGCGACACGTGCGCACGCTGCTGCCGCATGGCTTTAGCGGAACGTTTCACATTTTGGATATTTCCACTCCGGCGCCCCATTCTCGCCTAAACGCACTTGAGTCGATATCTATTTCTTCGGCTCTTGACAGGCGTAACAAAGGAGCGGGTCGGGCCTACTACTCACCGCTGTCCTACGCGTGAATATTGGGCGCCATCAATAAGAGATGACGCTGTCTAGTTTTTGTGTGTGCAGAGCTCGCGGGGTCATCCTGAATGCTCGCGATGAGTATTAGGGTGGCGACGGGGTGCGTAACACGGGAAAAGGGGGGCGGACAGGGCACGCTACACGATATACGAGCTGTATTCTGCACGGTGCGGATACATGAGCTATGTGGAGGTGCTGCACGTGCATATGAAGAGCTGTGCGCGGGTGACGGGGTGTACATATAGCAGGGATTGAGAGGAACATGGGTGTGAGACAGGGTTAGAGGGTAGCATTGAGGGTAATAGTACGTGGTGTGCGGTAAGATGTGTGCGGAGCATAGGCAAGAACACGTGGTGTATGCCAGGGTGTGTGCGGTGGTGGGGGCAGCTGCCTCCATGGGGATGAGAACACGTGGCGTTTGGTAGGTTGTGTGTGTGCGCGTGGGGTGAGGGTGGATAGGAACACGTGGTGTGCGGAAGGGCGTGTGTATGGGGCCTGGGTTATATGGTACGGGGTTCATGTTATGCAACGGAACGCAGAGGCATAGGTTAAGAGGGGTAGACACATAGCATCACGAGTTTGGAGAGGTGATAGAGAGGGACTAGAGGGAGAAGGGTATTTTCAAAGTCGAGGTCCGAGCAGCAGACGGACCATCCCAAGACGAGCCTGCCGCATGAGCGGTTGGGGCAACAAACCGTTACTGAATGGCTCAAAGGGATTTGGTTCAAAATTGATTTTCATTGATTTACATGCACGGCTTATGAATCGCTATGGCGTGACTCACGAATCTAAACGTGGACAAGAAAAAGATTCAATTGGAGCATGAAACCCGAAACGCAGAACAATCAAGTGGCTACACGCTCTTTCTCTCTTTCTCTCGCACGCAGGCACGGACGCACGCAGGCACATACCACCGAGACGGGAGAATACGGCTACTTCCACTGAGACCACCGGACATGCGTGTGTGTCCAATATGGATGAGGATTCATACAATGTGAATCAAGGATTCATGGGCGCTGGTCTTATTTCTACACCACGTGTAGAACCTAGGTAAGAACGTCCTCACGTTTCTGCATTAGAATCGTCTCGAAGCCTTGTTCAATAGACTCACACGCAATTGTTTTGGCAGACATGTAGCGGCGAGCGGGTGTACCGGTACAAGAACCGGGCCTATCGTTTAAATCATGCACGGACGATCGTAGCTTTAGAACTACAGCCCTTTTTGACTACATTCGAGCGCCGATATTAAAAATACGCCTGCTGATTTGCGATTTGCGGGCGCCAGGTCACACGCGGGTGTCGTAATGCAGTTGTCTGGGGCAGAAGAATGGTGTATGCCGGCGTCTCTCCTCCCCCGCCATCGATCATTGCGACCCAAATCAAGCTTAAATAACGCCATCGCAGTCATCCATCAATATTGATAGAAGGAATACATTAAGACTCGCGCGCGGGCGCGGGGAGCTGCCCACGCAGGGAGCTGTCACCTCTGTCAGATTATGGCCGGCTTAGCGCCCGCCTGCATGCATGCGCGAGTCTCGCACCGACCTGTGCGCCTGACATTTGGGCAAAGAGCGGATCCACGTCGCAATTACCCGGCTCCCTAATTAAATTTAACGCCACGCATTCGCCACGCGGCGCGTGTAAGTAGCAGCGAGTAGTAGCTAGCCACGCACGCGGCTGTAGTTGTATCAGGAGTAAGATAATATAGGAGGAGTATGACACTCCAAAACACGAGAAATTCAACATTTGCTTGCCTAATTTTACCGATGATATATTACGTCTAAATTAGCGTTGGACATCCACCTCACACTCAAACTTTACTTTGTTTCCCTGCCTCTTCTTTTTATGGAGATATAGCTTTGAACGTCACACATGGTTCATAGCGTTTTACTATGCTGGGGGCTCAGCTTCCCTGACGTTTCAAACAGTTGCTATCTCTGTGAGGAATGGTCTCTTGTGTGTTTAAAGAATGCCACCTGTTGGCGGCAGGAGTAAGATAATATAGGATCAATATTATATTCTATATTATATCATACACACTATATATATAATCCTATATATATATATACACACATATAATCCTATATATATATATACACACATATATATACTATACACGTATATATATACACACACATATATACACACTATATATATACACACATATACTATATTATCCTATATTATATAATATCCTATATTATCTTACTCTTGCCGCCAACAGGTGGCATTCTTTAAACAGACAAGAGACCATTCCTCACAGAGATAGCAAATGTTTGAAAGCTCAGGGAAGCTAAGCCCCAGCCTAGTAAAACGCTATGAACCATGTGTGACGTTCAAAGCTATATCTCCATAAAAAGAAGAGGCATGGAAACAAAGTAAAGTTTGAGTGTGAGGTGGATGTCCAACGCTAATTTAGATGTAATTTTTATCGAGTTGCACGTAATATATCATCGGTCAAATTAGGCAAGCACATGTTGAATTTCTCGTGTTTTGGAGTGTCATACTCCTCCTATATTATCTTACTCCTGGTTGTATCACGCGTGTGTGTAGGTAGTAGATACAGCGCAGCAAGCTTGCAATGGCACCGAGATAGCTGCCGGAGGTAGATCGCTATACGCACGCAGCGACAAGCAGTGCGGCAAGGCAGCTATAGCGGTAGCGCGCATATATATATGCATGTTGATAAAGCAGAGATGGCTTCTTGCGTGGCAACGAGGTAGCTCCCGAGAGACACTTCGTTACGCTCGAACATTCAGGAGGTTTAATAGTTTTCTAAGTACCATGTATTTGCGCAGTGACATGCCTGTATTGTTTGTCTTTCCCCGCACGTTAGCACGTGCGCACAGCTATAATGAACGACATGTAAATGAACAGGACAGACATGAGAGTAAACATAATACGAATGCAATTCCATATTAATATTAATATGAAATGCATAATATAGAACTAGAGAGAAGTACCTAGATAGAGAGAAGAGAAAGCGAAAGAGAGAGAGAGAGAGAGAGAGAGAGAGAGAGAGAGAGAGAGAGAG